TCTTTCCCTCTGAATGAAACGATGCCTCTGTTTCTGTGAGTTCCGACTGTCGATATCGTTCCCATTGGACCATGTGCAACGTGTTATAGTGACATCGTGGCATCTACCTCCTCGGTTCAGAACGGCTAGTGACCCCGTTGCCGACTTCCATCTTCGTCTTTTTCTAGTCGATTTTCGGAAAACTTTGTGCAGTCTGCCTCAATTCTCCAACAACCTATGCGGTCGTTGGTAACCGGTGCGACGACCAAGCCGGTACAAGATACATTAACTGCAATACCATGAGAGACAGATGGCTAAACTTTAAGGGAATCTCACCAGGGTCCCCAATCTTGCTCCTTTCCTCTCATTTGGGTTGGATCCGGCAACAGCGTTATCCGTTTTTCAGCAAAAGTTTGACTTAACACGAAATCTATGTACGTGTCATAAGACTAAATTGCACCTGTACTCATGGAGCTCAGAAAAGTCAAGAACACACGAATCAGCTATGAAACTAGTGAAACCAACAAAAAGCAAAGAACCACGAAGCAAATGAACATATACGGCATAAGGGAGGTGTGCAGATTCCTTCAAAAGCTTGTGACTCGTTTATACAAGAGGCAATAACAGTACAGCAGAATGTTTCGTTGCACTTGTAGAAACTGCTGCATTAAACTGATGGGACTAACGCTCGAAACCTCCCTTCATAGGTAGAATGGATGGAGGGAGTTCTGTTATAACGGTAATCAACATCGTGAAGCACCCCATTCTAAAGTCGGACTCCAGCAAAGTAGTATGAAGTAAAACTCTTTGGTACTTTAAGGTTCTGTCGCAGTCTCCTCCACTCTTCATCCATAGAGTATCGCTTTGTGAGAAATCAAGACTTCCCTATATCTGCTACATCGCTGCTGTCGGCTCTCCTTTAAAACGAGCCAATTAAATCCTGGCTGATGGCATGGAAATTGAGATCAACGCCTCACCATGGACTCCATACCAAAAACAGCACTAGAAATAGCTCAATCATGAAAACGTAGGCAAGACTAATATTCCCTCATCGACATGAAAGGATGGGGAAGTTAAGTCGTATCCAGTTCTTCAGAATGATTTAAGCAATTTGTTTCTGGGTGAGGGTCATCCCTTATTTCTTAATCGACTGAT